CCACTTCTCCCCTTGTGATTTCATGCATTTGAGTGAGTTACACTCACTCTTTGCTCACTTTCTCCCCTCTTTTTTTACTTAGGAACAAATAGCAACTCTTGTCTTTGCTTATTCTAGTGTTTAGATGATGATTAGCTCCTGTTTTGTCCTTTTCTTCACTCCCTTGTGAATCGCCACTTCTCCCCTTGTGATTTTATGCATTTGAGTGAGTTGCACTCACCCTTTTCTCACTTTCTCTCCTCTTCTTCGCTTAGAAACGAATCGCAACTCTTGTCTTTGCTTATTCTAGTGTCTAGATGGTTCCTTTCGATTCTCTCACATGATGATGTTCCATTGCATGCTTGGTTCTACTCATGAGTTCCAAGCATGTGTTTGAGCAAGTCTCACTTACGTGCATGGGTCATCTCTCACATGATAACATCTCATTTCATTCTTGGTTGCATTCATGAGCCCCAAACATGTGTTTGAGCAAGTTTCACTCATATGCATGGCTCAACTCTCACATAATGATGTTCCATTGCATCCTTGGTTGCATTCATGAGCTTCAAGCATGTGTTTGAGCAAGTCTCACTCGCATGCATGACTCAACTCCCACTTGATGGTGTTCCATTACATCCTTGGTTGTGTTCATGAGCTTCAAGCATGTGTTTGAGCAAGTCTCACTCACATGCATGGCTCATCCATCACATAACAATGTTCCATTTCACACTAGGTTGTTCAACTTCTCATGTGCTTGTGCTTTCACTACTCATACTCTCATCTTGCCAAGTTTATGCTCTTGGTAGTATTCCGGTTCACACTTGGCTGTTCAACTTCTCATGTGCTTGTGCTTTCACTCTCATCTTGTCAAGTTCATGTCCTTGGTAGTGTTCTGGTTCACACTTCCCATGTGCTTGTGCTTTCACTCTCATCTTTTCAAGTTCATGCTCTTGGTAGTGTTCCGGTTCTCACTTGGCTGTTCAACGTTTCATGTGCTTGTGCTTTCACTACTCGTACTCTCATCTTGTCAAGTTCATGCTCTTGGTAGTGTTCCGGTTCACGCTTGGCTGTTCAACTTCTCATGTGCTTGTGCTTTCACTACTCGTACTCTCATCTTGTCAAGTCCATGCTCTTAGTAGTGTTCTGATTCTCACTTGGCTGTTCAACTTCTCATGTGCTTGTGCTTTCGCTACTCATACTCTCATCTTGTCAAGTCCATGCTCTTGGTAGTGTTTCGGTTCTCACTTGGCTGTTCAACTTCCCATGTGCTTGTGCTTTCACTCTCATCTTGTCAAGTTCATGTCCTTGGTAGTGTTGCGGTTCACACTTGGCTGTTCAACTTCCCATGTGCTTGTGCTTTCACTCTCATCTTGTCAAGTTCATGCTCTTGGTAGTGTTCCGGTTCTCACTCGGCTGTTCAACTTCTCATGTGCTTGTGCTTACACTACCGACTCTCATTTTGTCAAGTCCATGCTCTTGGTAGTGTTCCGGTTCTCACTTGG